TTTTGTGGTTATATCTGTCTTCTAAATTATTTCAAAGCACAAGTGAGTCTTTTATCATGAGATATTCATTTTTCAAACCTTCATGAAGGTGGTGACGAAGAAAGATCATAGCTTTAGCCTTATCTTGGTTAGATGCTTTATTTCCTTTTTTGATAGTATCTCCAAGACCTTTTGCATCTAAATGAATTTTAGCATTTAATACCCATCATAAGTAATTTTTTCTCGTAATATCAAGTGTGACAAATTCGAGGTTCGTAAGATTTGACAAATTTAGTACTTCATTCAAGAATATTCCTTTCTTTCAAAAGTGTGTAGTAGAATCTCGTGCTGATAACGTGTTATAAAATAAACTTAAAATTATAAGGAGCAAGTGAGAAAATAAAGAGAATAATATAGAGAGAAAGAGAGAATCTCAATTTCATTTCACATACTCTCAATACAATTGAGATACTTATTTATAGGCCTAAATCTATAACTGAAAAATCTCATCTCTTTGAATGAGAATTAAACAAAACGGTTACAAAATAGTAAGTTATAAATAATATGAAGAGTTATAGACATTCATACATATAATAATTCATAACAAATCCAACATTATTGAACTGGAAATGCTGAAAGTAAACACAAATAAAATTTGACACAAGAACCTTAAGGTCTAATGCAATTATAAACTTTGATGTGATTATAAAGTACCAGGGAAGCTTTTGGACGTGAAGTTTAAGTATTGGTGAAGCTTTCTCCACTTCTCTCATTTAAAGTACTAATAAAGCTTTTGGACTCGTGGGTTTAGAATTTGTTTAACCTAGTAATATGACATAAGTTATTATATAGTCATCCAAGTCACAATTTTTTCTTTTTCATTTTCAACCATTTTTTGACTTGGGTATAAGAGAATGAAAGATAGGGTTGGATTCATAAATACGGTTGTTGTTCTCAATGGTGGTAGTGTGTGGAAGAAGAGAGAGCAAAATAAGAAGAAAAAATGAATTTAAAAAGAGGAAGAGAACATAAGTGCATAACCAAATTTTTGTATCGCTCCTCTTTGTCGTTCTTCCTCTATATGTTACTTTTTTGCACTACTCCCTATGTAACGCTCCAAGTTTTGTAAACAATTTGATTATTAATATGAATATGTGGATTGCTATTTGAATATGTATTTGATGTATATAATGATGTGAATATATGTGTATATGTGTGATGACGTAGACATGTATGTATATATGCATATGAATGTGTGTATGTGTTGATTATGTATTGAGAGATTGGATATGTTTGAGCTGATTGAAAAAATAGGCTAAGTGTGTGCTATAGCGAGAGGATTCTCGTTGTAGTGAGAAGGCCTTGGGTGAATGACATGATTTTGTTGTGTTCTCGCTATAGCAAGAGGCTCCTCGCTGCAGTGAGAGGGTAACAGAGGAAGGTGTATTTCTAAATGCAGTCTCGCTAGAGCGAGATTATGCAGAAACCAGAGTATAGTTTGGTCTGATATTTTCACTATAGTGAGAAGAGGTCTCACTGCAGTGAGAGAAGTCTCCCTATAGCGAGAGTATCGTGACTTATTAGGTATTTGAAGGGTTTAGGGTTTGGGTACCCTTCTGTTCAAGCTTTTCCTTGGAGTATGGCATGGATTACTTCAGCGCCATAGCATCTGATACTTAAACATTGGCTCGAGGCATTTTCTATACCCGTTCTTACCCTGAAAAAGCAGGGGCACCTTGCATCCTTGAACCGATAACCATTTTCCCTCATCCTTTCTTTGATTCTTTCGACCCCAAACCCTTTCTCACCTATTAAATTGCCTCCAAAGTCGTTTGCGTGCAAGATTAAAGGTTAAAATCATGTTTAGGACGCTTGGAGGTAAGTTTTATGGGTTAGGGTTTCGATTTTTGTCCTTTTCTTTCATTTTCTTGATTTCTCATGGAGATTTCCATGTGTTTAGGGCAAAAATTTTGTGTTGGAAGCATTTTCGTTGTTGATTTATGTTGTGGGTCTTCATTCTGAGATAAATGGGAGACTCTTCTCTATCTCATATTTAAACTTCGTTTATAATTTTATGCGATGGGTTGTAATTGAGTTAGAGCATAAGAAAATGTTTGCATTGGTAGGAAATTTGTGTTAGTTATAATATGGTAGATGTTGGATAATGTGTGTGATGAAAATGATGTGAATTGTAATATAGTTGTGATGGAAAACATGTGTTTCAGTGTAATGTAATTGATATGCACGAACACGTCATTGATTGAGGATGAATACTATGAAATAAGTGAAAATGTAGATGAATATGTGTGAATGACATGTTAGTTGTGTTTGAAATGTTGGAAACTATAAATGGTTATAGCGATGCACTAGGGGTAGGGAAGATAGAGCGGTAGAAATACCTTGGAAAAGAGACGGTGGTGACATCAACAGTGATTGTAGATGCACCACAGGCCACACATTCTCTTCCTGACTCGGCCTCTGACTAACACCTTTGCTAAGGAGCCTGTGACTGTATATGTTGTATCTGTGAGGCGTGGGCTAACTGGTGACCATCCATGGTATGAAACTGAGTAAGTCCCTGAGGTTAAGAGCGTCAGAAAACTGTGATCACAGTGTCACAGTGAGCGTAGCTAACGCGCAGTGAGCGCACATGTATGTTTGTGTGTAGAATGTTGAAGGTGCAGTGAGCGCACCTGTATGTGCAATGTGTGCACATGTATGTTTGTGTGTAGAATGTTGAAGGTGCAGTGAGCGCACCTGTATGTACAACGTTGTAAATTATTAATTTGTGTTTGTGTGATGCTTGGTTTGGACGATGTTGTAATTATACGAAACGTGCATGACGAGTCTCTATGCTTGTGTGTATGTGTGTGTGTGATAGTGTAGAGTACTCATCCTTATATTTATTTTTTAAGTGACTAAGATGATCAGCACCGGACTCAGTGAAGGAATGGATGAAACTAGTCTAAGACTTAGAAAATTATTCTTTTGAAATTATGATGTATTAATTAAGTTCTGTAGTAATGATTTAATTCAAACTTATAATTCATCCTTATTTTGAAATACTTTATTAAAATTATGCATTAGAAACTATTTGAATGAAATTTTATTATTCCCATTTTATTGCGAAATTGATTTATTTTAGAAAATTAAAATTAAGGTGTTACACCCTACACCACTCCTTTTGATTAATCCATTGATGATGGTGATGGAGAGAGAATAATCTGATGTAACTCATTCCAAAATATTCGTATCCAACCAACCTGTCACTTAGAGAACTTGAGATCAAAATCAAACATAAGCAGAGGAAATTATGCATTCGATGGTTGTTTCTAAATTGAGTTATTTCAACTTAAATAACAGTGTTATCTAACCCGTATCCAGTCTTATTATCAACATGTAGTAATATAATACTGTTTAAGTATTCTGCCTAGGAGTACGTTCGCAAAAATGAAACTTAAAGGAATTGAAAGGCGCCGCACAAGCAGTGGAACATGTGATTTAATTCGATGGCAAAGCAAAGAACCTTACCATGGCTTGACATGTGGCGAATCCTTTTGAAAGAGAGAAGTGTCATATAAGTAATATTTTTTTTTAGTCATTAATATTGTTAGCATAAAATATTTTTGTCCTTAATATTTTTACAATCTTTTATCTGTCATTTTTCTTCTTCATTTTTCAAAAGATATAACGATAAAAGTAAAAAATAAGATATTTGTATCAATACAAGTTGAAGTACAAAATCCCTTTTAGGGAGAAATATGAAATACTATATTGTAAATGTAGTCGATACCTTCTCTAACGTAGATGAGTATTTGATACTAGACTGTATATGCGCACGCCGTTTTGAATCTTTTGATATCTTCACTTTTGATTATAAATTTATAGTGTTTTTTAAATATAATAATTAAAAATAAAATTATTCAAACTTGATATTCAGTGACATAAAAATCATTAAAATAAATTATATTTACACACATAAGCGGAATTAAGTTATATCAACTATTTTGATAAAAGTCCCTATAATTAATAATGATTTATAAATATTAAATTTATGGATTTAACAGTTGATTAATATGATACATTTATGTTAATAGTGTATATTAAATTTTTAATAATCATACATCTATAAATGTATAATTTTATAATAAATATTTAGTAATAAAATTATTAAATAAACTGTTAATTAATTTTGAAGTTATATAATTTTTGTGTCAATTTAGTGCATTTAATAATAATTTTTAATTTAATAGTTGAATTAGTTAATTTTAATATTTATAAACAGTATAATGTAAATATATTTTATATTAATTATGATATAAATCAATAATTTTTATTAATATAATAATTTATGATTGAATATCAGGATATTTAAATCAAATTTTTGATAAAAAAAATTATGAAGCGAAATAAAGTTTTAAGTTTCTAATAACATATTGAATATGTCTTGTCGTAAGTGGTGTGGTGTTTGGCACGGAGACGTAGGGGGGAACGGGGAACACATCTCGTAGTGCTGATCGTACATTTCTTTTCAAGCTACATTTCAAAAATTAAAAGGGTTATATAAAGGGAAAAAGGTTTAATTTAATTCAACTAATAAAACACTTTTTACTGTTAAATCAGATTTTTAGATTTATTATCGCTCTTGGACACTTAAAAGAAAAGCGCTAATTCCTAACATTTTTTATGTCTAGGAATACGTGGTAATGTCTTAATCTGATTATATGTAATTAAGTATATTAATATTATTAATTATTAAACGTTATAATAAAAAATATTTTAATTTATGAATTTGAGTAAAATTGGCATCCATCGTTGAACAGTTTCCTCCCTTTGGGTGTATCGTTTCCGACGATGCTTTCATTGATTTGATTCTGACATTATAGTCGGAAAATAATGTAAAAAGAGAACTATAATTTGCAAGCTTGAATTAAGCAGAAAATGGAAAGCAGTGGATAACTGTTGAACATTTTGTTTGTGTTGTGTTGCGTGTGGGCACTTAGCCAATTATTGTGATTTGGGAGCAAAAAACGAATGAGTGGCCTTCCCTTCTCATCCTATATATAGCATTCCTACCCCTCCCACTGTTCTCTCAAATCACTTCGCTTCCTCTTCTCTCCATACATTATCATCTCAAACTCTTTCTTCTCCAATCTCTCTATTTTCCCTTTCCGCAGGTTCGTTCCGCTAATCCACTGTACCCTTTCTCTTTACCGTATCTCTAGTTTTTTTAACAAATTATTAGCCTAGCCTAGGGTTTAAACTTTGAACATTCATGGGTTTGTCTTCAATTTTTCATGTAACGGATTTGCCTTGTCTTATATATACATAATTTATTTTCATTTTTTTTTCCTCTCTGCGTATCATTCTTTTTGGTTTTACTCTCACTCACTACGCTTGGTTTTATATATATATATATATATATATATATATATACTTCTATTATGCCATGCTTCAATTCAATACCCTTCACCTAAAGACGAAATATTTATTGTACTTTAATTTCCCCCTTCTCCTTTGGGAAAGGTGGGTGGGTTTTTCTGTTTTTTTTTTCACCTCCATACTCGTACTTCAAAAAAAGATTTTTTTTTTTCTTGCAAGTGCCAACTATAATGAGTTAATTGTTTTCATATGCTTTTCCATTATTTTATTGAATTGTAGTATCCCTCATGTGCCAGCATGTGTTGTATGTCTTTCTTTTTCCTGGGCTCTGGCCGTTCTTTTTCAGCCTGGTTTGTTATTCCTTAGAAAGAGGGACTTTCGTGAATTGCTGTTTTCATATTCCTCGGTGTCACATTACCCTTGCCTCACAACATCCCCCTCATAGTGAAAATTGTTTTGTTTATGGAGTATTTATTTGTTCATGTTTTGGACTTAATTATTAACCATTTTTCTGTTTGTCCTCCAAATTGATTTGTTGTGTAGAATGGGAAGTACTGGAAAAACTGACTATGGTGCATTCACTTATGAGAATCTTGAGAGAGAGCCTTACTGGCCAACGGAAAATCTTAAGATTTCTATCACTGGGGCCGGGGGTTTTATTGCGTCACACATTGCGCGGCGCCTCAAGAAGGAGGGGCATTACATTATTGCTTCTGACTGGAAGAAAAATGAGCACATGACTGAGGACATGTTCTGTGATGAATTCCATCTTGTTGATCTCAGGGTCATGGAAAATTGCCTAAAGGTTACTAAGGGGGTTGACCATGTTTTCAATCTTGCTGCTGACATGGGTGGGATGGGTTTTATTCAGTCCAATCACTCTGTCATTATGTACAACAACACAATGATCAGCTTCAACATGATTGAGGCAGCCAGGATTAATGGCATTAAGAGGTTAGCCATCTTGCATATCATTTCAATTGTATGTTCATTGGACCAATGTCTGAACAAGCGTTTATGATGTGGTCTCAGTTCTAATTACATGACGATGTGCTTTACCTGTTCCAATTTTTTTTTTTAGGTTTTTTTATGCCTCTAGTGCTTGTATCTACCCTGAATTTAAACAGTTGGAAACTACTAATGTGAGCTTGAAGGAGTCTGATGCATGGCCAGCTGAGGTTTGTTGGTGATCCTTTTAAATGTTCAATTTATGTTGGTTCTTCATTTTCACATTAGGATTGGGATTAATGTGTTTAATTTTATGACTGTTTTTAGCCACAAGATGCATATGGGCTGGAAAAGCTAGCAACAGAGGAGTTATGCAAGCACTATAACAAAGATTTTGGAATTGAATGCCGGATTGGGAGGTTCCATAACATATATGGTCCTTTTGGGACATGGAAAGGCATGCTCTTAATTGAATTGAGAACTTATGGTTTTGTTTTTTTTTTTTTTCCAAATTGAGTAAATTGGTCGGAAACTTTTTAATTTGCTTACCTTTTGGATTTAATAAGTTTGTGTTTTTGTTGTTTTGCCTTACAGGTGGAAGGGAAAAGGCTCCTGCTGCTTTTTGTCGCAAGGCAATCACTTCCACTGATAAATTTGAGATGTGGGGAGATGGATTGCAAACACGATCATTCACCTTCATTGATGAGTGTGTTGAAGGTGTGCTTAGGTATGTCTTGGCTTTTTGTGGCTCATAGCTAAATTACTGTGTTCTTTCTAGGTTTTCATGTTTAATATTAAGACTAGGAACATGTGATTTTTATGATTGATGAAAAACAAAGTAGGTAGAGTAAAATTTAAAGTTAAGTTATGTTAAGGAGTTGTCAATTTCTTTAGTATGTTTCTTTGCAAAATCCGGTTATTTAAAATTGGGGCTTTTTGAATGAAAAATCATTAGTTTATCCAACACTATTGGATTAAATGACTACAAGACAGATTTCTGCCTTTACTTAATTGAGGATTTGCCTTTTTTGGTTGGATAGGGAAGACAGTGTTTATCAAGCAAATATTCATAATCTGAGATGTTTCATCTTTTTCTCTTCAGTTAATTCATATCCTTTTGGTAACGCTTGACATTGTGATCCATTGTTGTGTTTAGATTGACTAAGTCCGACTTCCGTGAACCAGTAAATATTGGAAGTGATGAGATGGTCAGCATGAATGAGATGGCTCAGATTGTACTTGGCTTCGAGAGCAAGAATATTCCTATACATCACATTCCTGGCCCAGAGGGTGTTCGTGGTCGTAATTCAGACAATACATTGATAAAAGAAAAACTTGGTTGGGCTCCAACTATGAAGTTGAAGGTATTGATATCTTTATTTGAGTGAATATTACTTTCCTATTTCCACTTAATATAATTTATTCCATGTTGAGATTAAGGTCTGTGGAACAGTCATAACCCATAGATCAATTGCACCATGCTCAGTCTATTGTAGTTGTATAAATGGATTCTCCCTTCTGTTCTGTCTTAAAAGCTTTTTTATCCAATTTGGGCTCTTCACTTCTTCAAGAAAGAGTGATGGAATGTTTAGGTTTTCTAGTCAATGAAAAACTTCGTAATTTATCTTATCCTGTTCTACTTTTTGATCTTGATAAACAACCATAGGATTATGTGTACACTTACAGTTTGTCAATTCGGATACTGTAGGATGGGCTGAGGATTACATACTACTGGATTAAGGAGCAGATCGAGAAGGAGAAAACTCAAGGTATTGATTTATCAATATATGGGTCATCCAAAGTGGTTCAAACTCAAGCCCCAGTTCAACTAGGCTCACTTCGGGCAGCAGACGGCAAAGAATGAAGTGGTTAATGCATCGCTGTAGTAGTCACCTTAATATTTCAAGTTAAGAGTTGTATTTGATATATTGCTACTAAATAGCGGTTTCTGGTTATTTAGCTGCTAAGGTTTTGTTATGTTTCTGCAGGTTTTTCATGTCTAGAATGTAAGCCTTGATGCTCCTAATGTATTTTATAGTCTTTTTAAGGCACTGCGGAGTGCGTTAGATGGTTTACTGTACTGCAAGTTCTAAATTATTTGTTATCATTGATTAATAAGCATATAATTGTTTTCTTCCTTGTGAAGTTCACTGTAGTGATATCATCTCTGAATGTTTTAGTGATATTTTAGCATAAAGTTGTATGGTCTTGCAAAGGCCGCTTGACTGAGAAGGATAAATTTAGTGCATGTTTGGTATTTCTACTAGGGAAAGGTTTTATATTTTCTGTTGGTTTATGAAATTGTCATTTTTGTAGTTTTAGAATTTATTTAGATTTTATTCATTTTTGGTCTTTAGATTTTAAATACGTTTTAAAAAGATTAAGAACTCGTAATCTTTGTAATTTTTAAGGACTTAAATAAAATTTAAATTGAAATATTTAAATATGGTATGATTTTTGGTACCTTATCAATGTATTTCTATTGTGATTTTCAAAATGATGTAAAATTGATCTATAAAACGTCTTGTTTTCGAAGATTTAAAACATACATTAATCCCAAGGGTTTTTTTTTTTTTTTTTTCTATTAATTTCTATTGCAAAACTGCACAAGAAAAAGTAACCATGTTTTAAAAATAAGTTAAATCAAACATTTGCCTTCATAATTATGTTGATGAAGAAAGAGTGGAGTGGAAGTATCAAGAATCAGCCTAGATATGCTGAATGTTGTAAATACTTAGTATGTTCCATTTTTAATAAATGCTTATGAAATAAAATTGCTAATTAAGTTGTTTTTTCTTCTGTAATAATCAGTACACTTATATTGATCGATGTTTTTGAGTGTTGTTAGCTACCCTACCCAATACATGCTGTATCTTTAAGATGCTTTCGAGCCAATTAAAAAAACCTTAGCAATTTTACCTTCACTATTGTGAAACGTGATTAGAGATGATTCGAAATCTTTATTCAAGCATCAGTTCTCTCTCGTTACACTGGGAAAAATATATTATAATGTTCATGCTTGTTCTAAGGCAGTGGAATATTAGCCATTCAACTAATTTGTCACCCCATTTGCTTGTGTACTATATACATGGCTGCACCGTAAGCACTTGCTGGTTCTCTCAATTGAGCTCATTTCAATCATTTCCAATAGGTTTGAGTTTTTATCATCTGGGTCTATGTCGGTCTATCCCTTATTTCTCTCATTTTCACTGAAAAGAAAGAGGGACCAAAGCTTTGGTAATATAGAAATGAGAAGGGCTACAAAAGTGCATCAAGGCTATTTTGTTCTAATTTTCTGTGATGACGCGCGTAGTGAAAGGGTAATGAGCTAGTTGTAAGGTTCTCTATTTTTCGCATTTTCTCCTTTGGAATGAAGATTGAAGTGGTCCAAACTAATTGTGGATATGGATATTACCTGACGTGGCCAATTCATGAGGGGTAAACACTAACTCGAGACTCTTGGATAAGCGCAAGCCACGTTAAGTGGAAAACATAGGAATGAATTGTCTCAAAAATAGGTTAATAGAAATATGTATTATATTTTAAATTTTACGAGGTTAAGATTAATTCTTAAATTTTAATAAGATGTGATTGCGATATATTTTAAATAAAAGTTTAATAGAGTTTATCTAAAATTTATACAATGCCCTGTCCCCATGTTTATCACGTCCAATTCTAAGTCTTTCGTCAATGTTTGTCCATGGCTATGAGCATTGTTGTGGGGGCATACAAATTGTGCCTGCATGGTCATATTATACGAGTTTTTCTGTTCTGTTTTCCTCTAGCCAGAAGTCTTTTGTCATTGAAAGCAACGTGTTCGTATCCAATGGCATATACGAATGTTCTTGGATTCCTCCGTTAATTCATATGAGAAATTTGAACATAATTTTAATTGTTTAACAAAAAGAATTACATTAAGTTATTCTTCAATAACTCATTCATCACCTGCTGTTTGATTCAAAAGGTGTGGATTTCAATAGAGGAGAAGATAAGAAGAGGGTAAATTTTAATGAACAAAAAGAAAAGGAAGATACACCTTGTTTTGTAAGAAGAGAAAGAAGGAAAACAAATGTACTAATATAACATTATGGTAGATAACTGAAACATTTGAACTTAATTTCTCTTCAACGATGCACTATGTAAACGACATTGCCTATCCATATAAATAACATCATAAGAGACAGAACACGTTTCTCCGCCTGCCATTGCATAACAAACCGTAGAAGTTGCCAAATTGTGATTCCCTTATTTGGTTTGGGCCTTCTATTTAGCCGAAATCTTCGACAGCTTTGGGCTATTGCGTATTAACCTTTTAAATTTGGTTACACTTTGACTTGAAAAAATAGACTATTGAAGTAAGAAAATTCACGACAAAATAAAATTAAAAAAACGTAAGCAAATTGGATTGAATAATGGCAATAAAATAAAATAATATAAAGTTGATGGAATCATTTTCCATTTACTATCATATGGAAGAATTTAGCTCCTCTACAACTTCATAATTCTTTTTCTTCAAAATGTATCTTTCACTTAAAGAAACCAAATTACATGGCCAAGATTCCTTGAAAATCTAATAAAACTGCAGAGATCAATTCATTTCTTCCCCATACTGTTTCTTTGTGTGAAATTTCTGTGCCTGATGCAAACAAGCACAGCGATGGCCAATAAATTTGGCCCCGGTATCTGCACGCTAGCCTGTGGGACTGAGAAGTGGGAACTAAGAAAACCATAGAAAATTTCATCAATACCATCTTTTTGGCAACTTCTTCTCAAGAAAGTCATATAGAAAGACTTTTGGAGATTCGGGACCAAGAAAATTTTCAAATTATAACGTTATTTGAATTTTTAGGGTCATTGCAAGGATAACCTTTAGATGATAGATTAAAGAGTACTTAATAATATTTATTAAACAGCTTTAATTATTTGGAAAAATATAAATATTTTCTACATTTTAATAAATATTTTTCTTTTCATTTAATACATTATTTTTTTAACAAGTTCCTTAACAATAACAAGTAGCAAATTTTATATTATTATTATCATTATTATTCCTTTGTCACGTACATATACAAGTCATAAAAGGGGGAAATTTTGCTACCCTCAATCATTATTATTATTTTCAGTAATTGGTTGGTGCGAGGCTTTGCTTGGATGGTTGGACTAAGCTACCAACATGCATATAAATTACAGTATGAAGTCCTCATTGGTATATCTTTTCTTCTCTCTTCCCTCTCTTGGTTTTGTGTGCTTGAGCGTTTATTTGCAGCCTGTTAAGCCAACAATATGAAGGAAGTGCTGAGTGAAGATCTGATTGGTGAGTTTCTAGAAGCCTTCTCTCTTTTTGACAGAGATGGAGATGGTGAGTATCCTTTTGAACTTAATTCAATAGTTTCATAATTCGATTAATTTTCTATGTTGTTTCTCTCTTCTCTGGTGCTTGCGTGTTTTCTTTTGAGTATTTTCTAATGTAATGACATTTGTATTTCGCATGTAATTATATATGTTGCATAATGTAAATTGGAAAAGGCTGCATAACCATGGAAGAATTAGCTAGTGCAATTAGAACACTAAACCAAAATAATCCTAGGAAGGAAGAGTTGCAAATCATGATGAACGAAGTGGATATGGATGGCAATGGAACCATAGAATTTGGGCAGTTCTTGAATCTTATGGCTAGAAAAATGAAGGTACGCGATGAAGTTTAATTTAATTCTACCATAAATGAGAGTAATGCTGAAAATGAACTTTAACAATGCATTATGTGTGCATGTATCGTTTATGGATCCATCGAGAAGCAAACTGAAGTAGAAGAGGAATTGAGGGATTCTTTCAGACTGTTTGACAAAGACCAAGATGGTTACATATCACCAACGGAGGTTGGATTAACTCCTTTAGCAAGTATTTCAATTGATTTGTTTGACCATATATATATATGTATACTCTTACGTGTAATTAATCAAATAATTGATATTTATGCGCAGTTGTTGTCTGTGATGAGAACTATTGGAGTGAAGGTGACAGAAGAAGAACTGGAACAGATGATAATAGTGGCTGATTTGGATGGTGATGGTCGTGTTAATTACCAAGAGTTTGTGAGGATGATGTCAGCTGTTTAATTCATTCTTATACTTAATTTATGAAAGTGCAAATGATTAATGTGTGCAAAGGGCATTCTTTTCTTTTTGTTGGCGCAAATGCAAATGACACTATGGTTTGGTACTTCCGAAAGAGGCTTGTAGGAGAATAGGTGAAATAAACATTATATACTATGATACATTTTAAAACGTTTTTATTTGTGCTTCCTGGATGTACCTACATAGGAAACTACCAATTCATATATTGTTTGATGAATGAAACATTTTAGAAATTAAGTAAAACCTCCAATTGACTTGCTTAAGGGTAAATTATTGGAATTATTTATGAATTAAAAACTTTACGTTTTTAAACTAATTATTATAAGTTATATCTTTTATTTTTCTGAAGGAAGATGTTTTCTTCCCTTTTTATTTATTTTTAAAAACATTTTGTCTGTCATATCAATTTAGTGGTGTAGAACAATGAGAATAGGAGTATACACAAATTTTGACAAGACCAACTATATCATATGATAAAAGATTTGTAATTGTTAGGTAACGTGGGATGGGTATCGTTACATTTTTTTACGAAAACAGACCTAAATCGATATACGAAAAATTTAATGAGTTTTTTTTTTTTTTCCGTTATTTGGTTCATAGAACTAAGCTAGTCAATTTTATTAACTCATATTAGCGACAAGATAACTTTTTTTAACTGTAACAGCGAAAGGGTAAATAAGTGACTAATGATTCATGTTAGAGGACCACAAAATTTTGCTCATTAATTAATAAATTTATAAACATTAACTTTATGAAGATATGGACCTTTCAAGTTAAATGTTTCAATAAATTCATAATATCAAAATTTTAAGATTTTTACATTTTTATTTGTTAAGCTTCACATCACAAACAATTGACAAATAGGAGTAAAAATATATGTAAAGTTAATTTCTCATAAAAAAAAAATGCAATGTTAGATTAGGATTTACCTTAAATAAATTTAACATAATTCTTATATTTAAGATCAATGCTTGAAGTATTTATGTGACATGGGTCTTCTATTAATGCTTGCTTTACCTTTTCTCTGTTCTAAATCTAATTAACCTACTCTGGCTTAAAAATTTATTAAGTTTTCTTTCCAATAATTTTTTAAAAGGTAAATTCTGTGATATTCCTAAAAATTTTCTAAGGCATTGTACATAAAAAATTTTTAACCAATAATATTTAAATACGTATTTAAATAATAAATTATTATGTTTGTTATATTTGAATAAATTTAAAAATGTTTAAATTTTTAAATAGAATTAGAATGCAATTAAAATTAAATAATTAAAATTTAAAAATAAAATAATAATATTATATTAATATATATTTTATATTCTTAATTCTATTGTTATTAATATTTAAATATTATATTAATATATTATATTATAATTTTTTATTTATAATAAATAAAAATTACTTAAATATAAATTATATTTTATTTAAAATTATAAAAAAAATAAAAAAAAAAATTTAATATATATATATATATAATAGAAATATGTAGTAAATAATATAATTTTAAATAAATTATATATAATAATATTTTTTTAACTTATTACATAACTCTTTTTTATTAGTATAAATTATTTGAATAGGGTATCCATAAATTTTTTTTATAATATCAAAATATATATATTTTTAAACAAATTAAAAAATTTAACTTTAAATAAGTCGATGAACCTACAATGTAGGTAAGTTAATAATCTTAAACCTTTAAATAGACTACTAAGTAAAAATTTAATGCAATAATACCACCAATAATATTTACATATATATGGTAGCTTATTCTATTTATTTGTTCTAAATTTAAAAATTTATTTATTAATTTCGTAACTTCTCATTCAACATTGAAACTTGAAAGGAGTAGGTAGAAAAAAGAAAACAAATATTTCTCATACCACATGCTTGAAACATCATCTATTAGACGATCGTGACAATATGTCATATAGAGTCATTGTTTTTCAAAATAAGGTTGAAGAAAAGTATGGGTAATGTCTCACTATTCACTATTGAGGGTCTATAATTAATGATAATAATCTCCTTGTTGCGCTGGTCAAATGGAAATTGGGGCTTGGACGATAAGAAGAAGAGTGGGATAATGTTATCATGTCATGCCTAATATATCGTCACCCTTCTTTAAAATCCATGTAGGTTAATTAGGAATAAGGATCTTATCATATTAATTATAAGGGATACGACCGCGATAATATCATAACAAAAAAAAAAATACATTAAATTAAATTAATAGTTTTATATAAATAATATGAGACATCTTATTACAATTTTTTTTATGACATGACATTATTATATTTATTGGTTTGATTATATTTTTGTCACCCTAATTTAGATTATATGCCATTTTATCTCTCATTCTTTTCGCTAATTAAGTCCTTCAAATTTTAAAATTTCATAAATTTAATCCCTCATAATTTTTTTCTGTATCTAAAATTTTTAGATTCTCATTCTCTTTAGTCAAAATATTTAAAAATTAAATTAATTAAATTATCTTTTACTCAAAACTAACTAAGTAAAATATCAAATTTCACCCAAAGCCAAAAAAAATTTTGTTCCTCTACAAATTTTATTAAGTTTTCATATATTTTTTCTTTCTAACTTTTAACATTTTATGTTCTAATGTTACAACAGATTCTGTAAAAATTTAGTTAAAAAATTTATGATTTTTAAATAAAAAGATTAATTAAAGAACCTAATTTTTATAATCTTGAAAATAAAAACATATGATTAATTTTAAAATTAAAAAAAAAGAACTAAAAATATAATAATTATTTTTTATTGAATCACATAAGAAAATCCAAATCCACCAAATAGATTAAGAAACTTTTCGAACCTAGCCGGACAGTACGAGCTCTAGCAAGGGAGTGTGTATGAAAGCATGATTTTTCCTTCACGTGGAAGAAATTCAAGTCAGTCAACAAGACTAAGTTACAAATAGTAAATTTGATTTTTGTCAATGAAAGTTACTTTTGTTACTTTATTTTTATTATTTTTTTATAAAGTTATATATTCCCACACTTTCGGCCAATACGAATTGTTCGTATTATCGATGCCATTAAGCTTCTCATTTGGTAGATTTAAATAGGAAGTTATTGTTTTTTATTAATCTCAGTGTTTCAAATTGAGTTTAAATGTTTAAAAATAAAATACTTTATTAAAAAATAATACATTTATTATATTAAAGTTATAAAGGTTTAATAAATATTTTTCTTTTTAATAAAGCTTTAGGTTAAATTGCACTTTTAGTCTCCAGATTTTAAGTTTATATGTAATTTTGATCACTTTAATTTTAATTGATCACATTTAATTTTCTTAATTTTTTAATAATTTAAATACAATTTCCACTCTAAAATTTTATTTAATAATTAGCGAAATATAATAAACATATGATATATCATTGATTTATACAAATTTGAAAGGAAAAAAGTATATAAAACAATTAAATACAAATAAAAACTTCTATTATATTCTATGTATTTATTTAATATTTTAAACATTTTTTATTAATTCAAACAAATTAATAATATGACATACATCTACTATATTTTTTTATTTATTAGATAAAATTTTAGAGTGAATGACATAATTTAAATAATTAAAAATGCAAAAATTTAAAATTAGAGAGACTGAATTTACATGAGTTAAAATACGATACTAAAAGAGTAATTATTCTTTTATTATTAGTTTTGTAAAATCAATTTTAAGAGTTGACGTTAACAATTTTTCTAAATATAATGAAATACTTAGATAACATGCATTTTTATGTGAGGATTAAGTGAGGAACCAAGTGATACAACTATGCTGCTCTTCCTACAAATCTCCGCTGTGTCTTTTTGATTGCTACTTTCTACCAACCCAGCTTAGACTCAATTCTTCGTCTATTTCAAAATTCGCAAATGCTCAGTAACTGTGGTTTCAGGTAACCTCTATGGAAAACAACATTAACGAGGTGAGAAAAAAATATTGCGAACGAAAAGACATGATACATGCATCACATTACTGTTTTCTTGTGCTTTCTATTTTCTTTCTCTCATTTTGTTTCGCAAACCAAACTTCACCCATAAAATAATTTCAAGCAAATACTATATCCAAAAGACTGATCCTCTCTCAATCAAATCTAATTAAGCGGACCAAGTTCATTCAATTTATTCATCGGTAATGAAGGACTAAATTGTATGGTCTTTGCTCTGTTCATAGAATACACATGCAGTTTTCATGCCATCCTGCAGTAATGATTTTCACTATATAATCAACTCAAGAGAAAAGCAACAAAATGAATTTAGTGCCTTTGATTGTGTCAGTAGACGCATATGAAACAAAGATCTGTATTTATTCATGGACTGAAACTGTGTGAGATATGAGAGATCTAAGACATAAGATAGAGGTTGGGGAGAGGAAAGGAACAATTAATCCAATGTCTAATTGTGCATATCTATATTCAGTTTTTGTAGATCTGGAAGTTGGGATCTCCATCTCAATTCATCATGTGCATATAGGACATAATATTTGCATATAATATTGATCAGAAGATAAGATTAGTAAACAAATCAAAACCAATGCATAATTGCATATTCAACAGAAAAATGAACCCAAAAAAAAAAGGAACAGTTTTAGGTCATTAATGAAAATAATTAAAAAGACTTGTCCCTAACCCCAAGGTAGGAGGAGGACGCACTGTAACATGTTAGGACTGTCGCTTGAATTCGGAACGCATGCCGCCATCCCTATTCTCTTTTTTTAGCTTTTAGCAAGAATCAAGCAACATGAATGCCGATTCAAATAGAATCACCAGATTTACCCAACAGAAGAATACAGAAATTAAACCATCCAGAAACATGCATATATTCATGTAAAAAAATAGGAGAGGAAAAGCAACAATGAAATAGTATCCACATATATATATATATATATATATATATATATATATATATATATATATATATATATATATACACATATATATTCAAGAGCCAAGGATGAAT